AGGTGTGGAAGAACCTGAAGCGGGGAACACCTATACGGCATGGAAGCCTACGGTACATGCGAACAAGAGAGAAAGAGATAGAGAGCAAAAAAAAAAAAAAAAAAAAGGGAAGTGGCAAGATGTGCGGGCTATGCAAGCCCTGAAATGCAAAGGAATCACGGGTGAAGGGGAAAAAAAAAAAAAAAAAAAAAAAAAAAAAAAAAAAAAAAAAAGGAAAAAAGGAAAGAGTGGGTGTGGGACTTGGGGTCCCATGATGCCAAGAGCACACGCCATAATGCAAGACAAAGGGTGGCCTACCAAACATGGAAGGCAGCAAATGGCCATCCGAAGAGCATGCGGCACGTGAAAAAAAAAAAAAAAAAAAAAAAAAAGGCAAGGGCCAAAGCGGCCGAACGAAGGGGCTGCTCCGGTGGAGCACCTCCGGTTGGGCACATCTCAGAACACCAGAGTGCAGGTGTAGGCACGCAAAGGTCTCACGAACCACAAAAAAAAAAAAAAAAAGAGAGAGAGAGAGGGAAGGGGAAGGGGCGTCGGCATGAACATTTGCGGGCATTGGATCTAGTTAATCGTACGCACAACCTACTAGCCAAACGCCCCTGCTTAAAAGAAGCCCGTCCCGAATTACCGAGTCGGATGGTAGAGCGTCACCACTCTCACGCGATTGGTCCAGAGTTTCACGTGGGTTTCGACAGGATTGGCTTCCGATTCCCTAACCGAACCGCCGCTGGGGTTTTTCCGAACCTACAATTTTCCGTTGACTTCCTTGTGTAATTCGAGTCTTGAGTTTTAACGAAGCACGCCCCATGTTGCCCCCACACCCATGGTCCACTGGCTACAGATATGCCGGGGGGTGGAACGATCGAGGGGGGTGGCCCCTATGAGTTCGCGGTCACTGACAAGCTCGTCACGACCATGCGTGGGCGCCTGCGCACGGCATTTCCATGGTGGAGCTCGTGGTGCGAGAGCAGTTTCATACTCTCGGTGATCGCCAATGGCTACTGGATGCCATGGAAGCATGGACCACCCACGCCGTTCCGGCAAGACAACCACGCGGGAGCGCTAATCCATTCCACGTTCACCAAGCAGGCAATAACCGAGCTTCTCGAGAGTGGTGCGGCCACACCCGCCCCCGCGGAACAACAGCTATGCATCAGCCCGCTAAATGTGGTGGTTCAAAGAGAAAAGTGCCGACTGATTCTTGACCTCCGAAGGGTGAACCAAAATTTGTGTATCCCCAAATTCAAGTAAGAAGGACTGAACCGGGTGGCAGAGCTCGTTCATGAAGACGACTGGATGTTTGCAGTCGATTTAAAATCAGGATACCACCACGTTGACATCCACCCTTCCTACTGGAAGTTCCTCGGGTTCCAATTCGATGGGCGCTCGTACGTCTTTCGATCTCTGCCATTCGGGCTGGCGACAGCCCCGTTCGTTTTCACACAGCTCATCAAGCAGCTCGCCCGTCGTTGGCGGGCTCTCGGGGTGCGAGTCATCCCTTACGTCGACGACATCCTTTTTCTGTGTCGCACGGCAGCAGAAGCGCGAACCACGGGTCAGATGGTGGTGCAAGACCTCAGCAAGGCTGGACTGGTTATCAATTCCAAGAAGTCGCACTTGCAACCCACCCAGCAGCTACGGTTTTTGGGTGTCGAGCTGGATACACAGCGCGGCCAGTTCTCCATTGGTCCCGAGCAGCGAGCATCGTTACATTCAACCATTCGCGAATCATGCATGGCTGGCAAGGCCGAACGCAAAGTCCCGATCCGCCACGCAGCCAGAGTTACCGGCATGCTCGCGTTGATGTCGCTTGCCATCGGCGCAACCGCGCGCACATTCAGCCAGAATCTACTACAGACCATTCAGGATGCCCCTTCCTGGAACAGCAAAGTGCAGTTGGTCCCTGCGGTCATCGAAGAGCTCGAGTTTTGGCTACATGAATTTGACAGATTCAATGGAGCCCCATTCCATGTCCCGAACAGCTATGACGCAGTAATCCATGTGGACGCCAGCGCACACAGCTGGGGAGCGACACTAGATATGTTTCCAGGGAGGCGAATCGAGGCGAGCGCGACCATGCCCGTGCACCTCACGACAGCCTCCAGCACACAACGGGAAATGGACGGAGTCCTATGGGCATTGCAGACATTCTCGGGAAGGATCCAGCACCGACATGTCCTCGCCAGAACCGACAATCAAGGTGTCTTCTTTATTCTTCGCAAAGGTGGTTCGCGGACCCCGAGCCTCACAACAACGTGCAGAGCCATCATTCAAGCGTGCGTCACATTTGGGATCCGGTTGACAGTTGAATGGATTCCGCGCGAACTCAACACACGAGCGGATGAACTTTCAAAGATGATCGATCGCGACGACTACGCAATCAAAGCACCATGGTTCCGGCTCATCGAGCGGCGCTTGGGACCGCACTCAATCGATTTATTTGCCGATGCGAACAACACCCAGCTGGCTCACTTCTGCTCCAAAACTCCTCACCCTGACGCAGAGGCAACTGACGCCTTCTCCATATCATGGGCCCCCGAGCATGCATATGCGTTTCCGCCACCCCACCTCATCCCAGCGGTGTTGCATCACGCCCAAAGGACGCGAGCATCGCTCACGCTCGTCGTGCCTCATTGGCCAGGGGCAAGCTGGTGGCCGTTACTACAACCCGCCCCGCCCCAATGGGCCGCCTGCATTCTCGCTCATATCTGCCTCACCCATGGGAGCGAGTGCCTGACCGCAGGCACCCACACTCACGCATTTTCTGGGGAAGGATTGCCTCATAGCCCGATTCTTGCATTACAAGTGTCCTTCGCCACCTGACCATTCACACATCTGGTGCAGGATTGCTCGAGCGGCTCAAGCAAGAGTTGCTTCGGATAACGACGCATACAAGGGCTGACTCCACCATTCGCACATACGAACCATACTGGGCCAATTTCCGAGCATTCTGCATAGACGTGAAACTGCAGTTCCTGCCATGCACAGACATGACACTCGCATTATACCTGGTCCACGCGATTCAACAGAAGGCCACCATATCAGCAATACAACTGACATGCTCGGCAGTCAGCTTCGCGCATCGGATGATTGGGGCCACGTGCCCGTCGACCGAGCCGTTCACATCCAATGTGCGAGACTTCGCCAAGCGACATTGTCCGCGACCTCAACGACTCAAGGATCCCGTCTCGCTGCATCAAGTACATGCAATGGCGGCGGAATTCCTGAAATCGAACAACCCGGGCAAGTTTCAGAAGGGGCTCATCCCACTACTCATGTACGCCGGCTTCCTGCGATACTCAGACCTCGTCGCACTCAATTGGCACGAGATTGAGTTCGAGAAAGACGCTATGTGGCTCCTGATCCCCCACTCTAAAACAGACCAGGCAGGAGAAGGCGCATGGGTCCCAGTAGCCGCCAGTCCGGGCCCTTTCTGCCCCGTACAATGCACCAAACGCTTCATCCAGTTGGCAGGCTATGGCCGCGCACAATACGGCCCGTTGATACGAGTCTTTGGTTCAGACACTACGGGTCGCGTTAGTACGACAACACCACCCTCCTATACAACAATCCGCAACTGGTGCAAGGAGGCATTTCACAAGATTGGCCTAGGACTCGAGCACCTCGGAACCCACTCATTCCGCAAAGGCGCACCAACCGTCGCCGCCAACGCAGGAGTACCTGATCGCATTTTGAAACAGCTGGGGAGGTGGCGCAGCGATACGGCCAAGGAGATGTACATCACTCCGGCGATAGAACAGTTGGTTGGAGCATCTCGACATGTCCAAGATCCGGCGAGAGCCTCGTCACCGACGCAACACTCCGCGGCGCTGACACGACATCGCCAACCAGCACGGCACATGTCTCAGAAGACCCATTTGAAATGAGACGATGCCAATTGCTACATGCAAGAAAGCAAGCTTTCTAAATATGTATATTTTTAAAAGCTGTAACGCTTTTCAAAATTATGTATTTTGAAAGCGAAGCTGCTTGTAATGTAGGATTTGGCAGCGTCGAGCCGCGCTAAACGCCCGTTTTCGAGTACAAAACGTGGGCTGGAGGTCATTTCCCTCCACCCACGTCTCTCATTTTCAAACGGTTTAGCCGATTTTCCCGCCCCCCCCCCCCCCCCCCCTCGGAAACAGGATAGCCGTAGGAACATAGAGGCATATCTTTGTAATATCACTATGGATTTCAATTGTACTAAACCCATTTGAAATGAGACGATGCCAATTGCTACATGCAAGAAAGCAAGCTTTCTAAATACATACCTAACAATTATCAATGCATGCACAGAACCAGCACCCCACTGCGCAACCCAGCCACACCCACAATGTGGGGGCAATGGGAGTGCATGCAATGATGTGTGTGGGACCAGGACAGGGGGCAGCATTCAAGTCGGCATGGGTGAGGTAGAGGCAGGAGTTGCCAGCTGGACATGCCGCGAGGGGGCAGGGACACCGCTTACGCACCTGCACTGCAAGGGAGGAGAAGTGGGGGGAGAGTGAAAGGCGAGCAGCAGGAAGCGATGGGCTGTGATGCGAGTACATGGGGGAGAGGGTAGGCGAGCGTAGACGGACGGGAAGGTAATGCAGGGAATACAGTGGAGATGGTAGAGTGTGAGATTTCGAGTACAGGGCTGTGAGCCCAAACTGCCAGTACAGGGCACACTCAACACTGCCATACAGCCACCGACCACCAGTCTGATAGGCACGTTCCTTGGAGTGGCTGGGGTGCAGCAGGAGGGAAGGAACCACGGCCCAGAGAGCAGTCCCTCGCAATACCATGCCACAGTGCCTGCCTACAGGCTTCACGAGCGCCCCCCCCCCCTCCCCCCGTCTGCAGCCCCTAGTGTGCCTGTGTTGGCACCACCAGCTGGGACCACCAATAAACCACTCCAAGCTGGGGGGCCTCACCTCGCCGCACCACCCCCTGTTCCCCCTTCACTCCCAGCCGTGCCTCTCATCTCGTTGCCCCTCCTTGCCCTCATCGCTCCCATTGCTCTAGTTCCCCGCACTGTGCCCGTTGCCCTCTGTGCCTGACTGCTTGCGCGAGTGGAGGAAGGGAGTGACGGGGCCGCTGTTGGCGACGTGCACCTGCACGCCCATCAGGGGGGGAAGAGGCATGGTGGCAAGGATGGCGTGATGGTGAGGCCGCCAGGCTGGTATACGACCCACATGCATGCCAACACACAATGCGCCCGCATCACAGCAAGAATGCATCACCAGATCCTCCCATCACACCACATCGTGCTCATCCCTACACTCCCCGACACCTCCCCTCACCATTCGCCTCCTACCACCCGCGCTCACCTCCATGATGGCGCCAAAGATGCCGTCTGTGGTGGCGTGCACAGGGCAGGGGAAGCTTAAGTATGCAGGCATGTGGGGGAGCGTAAAGCATTGAGAGAAGTGGTTGCTAGGGGGAGAGCGGGGTGAACGGGACAGAGAGGTGTGGATGTAGGGAGAGCGCCGGTTCAAGGCGTGATTACGGGGTGCAGCAGAGAGACACAGCTTGTAGTCTGTGTGTGTAGGATGCACCCCCCCGCCCAGTCTGCTCCATGCTGTCACCCTTGATGCAGGTGGGTGGCGTGGGGGAAGGCGTGACGCACGCACTGATATGAGATGTGTGTGTTCTGAAGCACGCACCTTTGACGCGGTCTGGCTGGTAGGCCGTCGCACACGGTGCACGAATGCGGCTAGAAGGCGCGGAGAGACGTGGCGCCTCCCTCACCTGCGTGGTGGGGCGGCATGGCGACGTGGAGGGGAGAGGAAGAGAGAGAGAGAGGAAAAAGGGGGAAGGTGAAGGCGTGGCAGGGATCTTTGGAGCACATGCGGTTTGAGGGGTGGTAAGAGCTGAAGGGGAGCCGATGGGACACACAGAGACAGGGGGAGGGGGTTGATGGGGAGGGAGTTGGGGAGGGGGATGGGGCATGGTGAGCAGCATAGTGGCGGAGAAACGAGACGATGTTCACGGTAGCAGGTGGATGGGAGAAATGGTGCCGAGGAGGGGGAATGGTGGGTCCTAACAGCATGCAGCAGAATTAGCTGAGTGAAGTAATGAGCGAGCGGGGCAGCAGCAGGAGCGCGTAGGGTGGACGGCGGGGGCACTGACCTGACGGGGGCATCGAAGCATTGGATGGCGGCGATGGGGCCTCTCCACCCTTGGCCGCCTTGCTCACCTGCTCCCGGGACACGTGGGGGCACACGCACAGTGGGGGGCACGGGTACACGTGGCAGTCAACCTTGCGAGGTGAGCTGTGAGCGAGAGGGAAGAGCCGAGTGCACGGGCACGAGGGCAGAACTGTGGAGCAGTTGGAAAAGTGCAGGTGGTGAAGGAGGTGGGAGTTGTCTAGGGGAGCTGGTTGGAGGGCAGGAGAGAGAAGGGGCACTGCAGAGCACTTGGGGAGGAAGCATTGAAGCGGTTGGAGTAGTACGAAGAGGGGGGAATGGCAGTGAAATGAGGGGATGTAAATGGAGGGAGTCCACTAAGGGGGAGATGGGGGAAGAAGGGAGGGGGATTGGGGGTGAAAGAGAGAGTAAAGAGTTTTGGATAGCAATATGGGCTGAGAGACAGCTGGCATATGATAGCAACAGATAGAGAGTGTGGGCGGGGGGAGGTAGGGAAGGGCTGCAAGAAGCATGCAAGGCGTGGCACAGTGGAGCGAGGAGGAGTGGTGGCACCATTGCAGTACCTTTCACAAGCATCAGTAAGTAAGCTGCCCCAACAGTACCTTCCTCGCTCGTTCCCCGTGCACATTCACTCCCACCCCCGCTCCAACCTCGCTCACAAACCCCTCCCCCTTCCCCACCTCCCCTCCCAACCTCCCCCTCTCTCTCCCCACTTCCCGCTTACCCACTTTCCCACTCCATGCCCGCAATCCCCCCTGCCTTGACTCACGGCCATCAGCGACGCTGGTGAAGTCAACAAGTGACCCGGAGGGTACCCCGTGCGGCGGTGGTGCGAGCGGGGCATCATGGAGCTGTGCTGCGCGTACTGCGCCTGCGCCTACAGCGGGTGCTGCCAGCCCGTGGGCGCTCGTTGCGCTCTCTACCCCCCCGCATACTGGCGAGCGGAAAAGGCCTGACCGTGTTGCAAACACTGAAAGGGGAGGGTGTGGGGAAAGATCAACGCTGCAACACTTGAGACCGCCACTGGGCGCCTGTGGGCGCTGGTGGCGCTCTCTACACCGCATGACACAGGTGAGCGGAAGAGACCGAAGCGTGTTGCAGACACTGGAAGAGAGGGGGTTAGGGTGTGGGGAAAATAGAAAGGGTGAGAAGGGTGAGAGGGGGGAAGGGTGCGGGGCGGAGGAGAGTAGGCCCGCGCGAGGCAAGGGTATTCTGGAAAAACTTCGGAGAGAGGGGTGGCGAAGGAGAGAAAGGAACGAGAATGGGGAGGGGAGGGCAAGAGTAGGTGATTCTGAAACGAGGAATGTATTCGCTCTTGTTCTGAAATGCTGTTCATATCGCAGCAGCGTATGCGGCCTACACCGCGTGTGTAGACGACCGTGCCAGCTTGCGACAAAGCGCGCATTGCTTTCGAAAACGCCGAGCGGCGACGACCCACCTATTACGTTTGCTCGTTACTGTAACACTCGCCAAGGGGCGCGTTCCCGGGGGCAAGGCGGGGTGGACGCGGAGGGCCATGAGCCAGAGTCGCGCGGAACGCGGAACGCAGCGGGGAGAAGGAACACGCTCGGCGACAATCACTAGGGAAACCGCACTGGACTTCATTGCTCGTTTCGTCGGCGGCTGTCAATGCCCGGGCGGAAAAGATGCTGTTGGTGGCGACTATAGCACGCGCGACGCGGCTGCTGATGATGTCTACGTGCGCTGAGAAGAATGGCGGAAATGCGATGACTAGTTTCGATCGGAATAAAATGAATAGTGGGGTTCGGGGGATGGGAGGGACTCTCTAGGTGAAAGATAGTTGAACATGTTAAACGCACAAAAAGCACTCGCTGTATATCGAAGCAAAACAGTTGCCTCGCCAGCTAAAGGGGGAATGGGCTGCTGACACGTGCACAAGATACATTCGAGAATCTGCGGAGAAAAGAACCAATCAATCGAGTGAATCACGTCAGGCCAAGATACAGTTGAGAATACATTGAAAGGAGTTTCATATTCTCTCTGTAGGTGAGATGAGTCCGCCCTTTATCGGGTATAAGAGAAAGGCAAGTCACTCACAACAGCAGCAAAGCAGAAATTACTTGCTCGTAAGCGCTTGCACTTCATTCTGCTGCCCCCTCCTGAAATCCCGAGTCGCCTCTTCTCTCGCTCATTCCTCTCCCGTCTGGACCCGTTTTTTTTTTCGTTGTCCGCTTCGGAGTTCCGTATGCCGCACCTCCTTTGATTCGCTCCTTCTAAAATTCGCATTTTCTTCCTCCTTGAGGCCGTGCCGTGTGGTGCTTGTGCCCGTGCCTCGTCCCTGCCATCACCCCGCGTCATTCACCCTCGCGATGATGCGACCATGCGACGCGAAGATGGGAGAGGGGAGGAGGGGAATGGGATGAACCGATAGGAACGGGCTGGATTAGGCGCCGGGATCCGTGAGATTTCGAACCACCCTACTGACAGTTTCGTTAGCAGCTTAATAATACACCGCAATTAGACGAGAAAGAGCGCCGCAACGTTTCAAATACAAGGCGCTTGCGCCCACAGTACCGCAAATTTATCCGCCACCATTTATCCTGCCATTTATCCGCGCCATTCCGCGTTCCCGCCTCCGCCACTTCTGCTCTCCGCCTGTCCGCCTCTACGCCTTTCCGCCTCCCCCTCTCCGCCCGTGCGCCGTGCGCCATGGCGTTCCCAGAGCTGCTGTCGCGACAGGCGTCAATCTAATCGCTCACGCTCGACGACTTCCAGGCGACGTTCGCAGGCCCGTCGCACGCCGTCGCACCCATGCCCATGGACGACTTCCTGCGATCCGTCTGGCTCGCCGAGGAGTCGCAGATGCTCGCCGCCACGCACGCTGCGGGCAGCACGGATCCGCGCGCGCGCGACAAGGCTGCGGGGCTGCTGCGCGCGCGCTCGCTACGGCGGCAGAAGTCCAGTGCGGCGATCACTCGGGTCGCTGGGAGCGCAGGGAGCGCAGGGAGGGGGTTCACTGGGGTCGCTGGGAGGGCTGGGGGGAGCAATGGGAGCGATGGGGGCGCTGGGAGGGGGTTCACTGGGGTCACTGGGAGCGATAGGGTCGCTGGGACCCGCCCCTCCTGGTGGGATTGCCATGGGGAAGGGGCATGGGCGGAGGTGTGGGGGGAGGCGTGGGGATGGGTGGGGGGAAGGTGCCCACTACGTATGGTGTGGGCGCAGGTATGAGCGCAGGTGTGGGCGCAGGTGTGGGCGCAGGTGTGGGTGCAGGTGTGGGCGCAGGTGTGGGCGCAGGTGTGGGCACAGGTGTGGGCGCAGGGGGGCTGGGGAGAGTTTACTGGGGCGGGCATGGTGGCGGCGGATGGGGTTGGGGGGGCGGGGGAGAGAGGTGGGGGGACTGTGACGGCGGAGGGGGAGAAGGGCAGTCAGATACGGGCAGGAGGAGTGGGGATGGGGACACACTCTGAGCAGGGGCGTGGGGGGGAGTGCGGGGCGGAGGGGGAGGAAGCGCAGTGGGGAGGGGGGAGGGGCGCCGGTGGAGAGGAGGCAGAAGAGGATCAAGAATAGGGAGTCGGCCGCTCGGTCCCCTGCGAGGAAGCAGGTGGGGTGCGATGTGGTGGGGTGAGGTGGGATAGGTTGAGGTGAGGTGAAGAAGCGTTTTCCAGACCTCTTGCTTTGCTGCTGTGCGTGCCACACTGAGTCAAGAGTCAAGACCCTTGATTCTTCGAGAGGAGGGAGAATGCTGGGCGGCACAGGGTGGACGGCACAGGGTCTCCGTATGGCTGTTTGCGTGCACATGGCACTTGCTCTCTCTCCTCACACCATGCTGCACCGCTTCGTGTGCTCCGCCCCACCCCTCTGGTGCTCCCCTCTGAAGTAGGAGAATGAACACCTGCGCGCTCAGCCCTCCCCCTCTCCCCCCCTTCTTCCTCAGGCATACACAGTGGAGCCTGAATGCGAAGGTGCCCTGAAGCCTAACCGCATGATCCTCTTCCCATGCCCTCCCCATCCCCCCCTTCACGCGTACACTGTAGAGTTGGCGCCCTCCCCCTCCCCATCAGCCCCTTCCTCTGGCACCACATGACATCCCCCCTTCCCCCCCTTCAGGCGTACACAGTGGAGCTGGAGGCGGAGGTGGCGCAGCTGAAGGAGGAGAACGAACAGCTGCGCGCCCCCACCCCACCAGGCGTACACGCGCACCCCATCCCCCCCCTGGTGCTCTCCCCCACCCCCTCGCCCCCCCCACCCCCCTCCTCTTTCAGGCGTACACAGTGGAGCTGGAGGCGGAGGTGGCGCAGCTGAAGGAAAAGAACGAGCAGCTGCGCGCCCAGCCCTTCCCCTCTCCTCTCCTCACCCCCTCAGGCGTACACAGTGGAGCCTGAAGGGTGCCCAGGAGCGTAACCACATGATCCTCTTCCCATGCCCTCCCCCTACCCTCCCTCCAGGCGTACACAGTAGAGTTAGAGGCGGAGGTGGCACAGTTGAAGGAAGAAAACGAACAGCTGCGCTCCCAGCTGCTGCAGCTGCAGTCCCACACCCACGCGCACCCCAGCATGGTGAGTGCGCGTTGCGCATTGAGTGAACGAAGCACGGCGTGCGCGCCCCTTCTCAGCTGGAGCGAGTGCGATCACGTTGACATTACTGTCGCTGTCACTCAGCAGCGCAGCTTCTGGCAAGTTCTCATTCCCATCATCACGTTCGATCTGATTTGATTCGTATCCCCGTCCACCATCGATAATACTTCTTTTCTTGTCTCCATCTTTTTTGTTTTCTCGCCTCTATCCCCTCCGGACCTGTCTTGCTCCCCTCAATTTCCCCAAACGCTGCAGCCAGCAGCCATGCCTACTTCTCTATCTGCAGCAGCACAAATAGCAGTGCCAGCAACGGCAGCAGCAGCAGCAGCAGCAGCGGCGGCAGCAGCGGCGGCAGCAGCGGTGGCAGCAGGCACGCCACTCAGTCTCCTACCACCAGCAGCAGCCGGACCGTCCAATCTCCCGGCAAACCCCCTCTCAACCGCTTCACACCTGCACACAACATCTCACCCTCACACTCCTTTGCCGGGTGCAGCAGCAGCAGCAGCGGGTGGGAAGGGTGGTGCTGGCAGCAAGGCACTGCAACGGTCCAGGTCTGGGCCATGGTGACCACCCTTGCTGCCTGGTCTCGCTGGATGCGCGACACCCCCTCACAACCACATAACACCCCCCCTTAACCGCTTTAAACCTGGACACACTGTCTCAGCCTCACACTGTGAAGGGAGGTGCCGACATCAAGGCACTGCAACGGTTCGGGTCGGGGCGTGGTGACGAGGGAACCACCCGAACTGGCTGGTCTCTCTCGATGCGCCACAAACCCTCTCAACCGCATCACACCCCCACTCAACTGCGTTACACCCCCACTCAACCGCATCACACCCCCCACTCAACCGCCTCACACCTCCTTTCAACCGCTTCACACCTACGCGCACCATCTCAGCCTCACACTGTGAAGGGTGGTGCTGGCAGCGGGGCACTTCAACGGTCCAGGTCAGGGCCGTGGTGACAAGGGAGCACCGAAACTGGCTGGTCTCGCTCGATGCCCCACGTCCCCTCAACCGCGTTACACCTCCTTTCAACCGCTTCACACCTGTGCTGTGCATACCATCTCAGCCTCACACTGCGAAGGGTGCTACTGGCAGCAGGCCATAATAACGGCCCAATAGGGGTGGCAAGAGGGCCATAGGGACACGCACCACTTGGTTTTGCTTGATGGAGAACAGGTAGTGTTTAGCTGAATATACCGTATTGTCCAAGTTAGAATTTGTTTGTAGCAAGTGTGAGAACCTTGGACTGGAATGCTGGAAGCATTCTTAGATGATCAAAATGTACCGGATTCAAAGAGAGGTGCGTCACTGCAACAAGTTCAGGCTACTGTACCGGTAACCGTACGAGTTGGCTGAGCTGACTATCAAACTCCAAGTATGACTTTGCAGCGCGTACAGTTGTAGCTACCGTAAGAAAGAATACACATGTCCAGCTAATCCCTCAAAGCTAATGGCAATAGCTAGCGCGTTGCTTGCCAGCCACCTGTGTTGTGTGCACATGACCTGATCGGCGCAGGTACCATATCACAGAGCATTTGGTTGACATCATTGCAATTAACATCTGGTGCCAAGATTGCAGAGTCAGAAGCGGCAGGGCAGCTGCCAGCCACGATTGTTGGAATTTATCAATCAACGGAACGCGGCATGCCTATTGCATCCATCGCATGTGGCCGGGGCTTGAGATGGTCCGAGAATGACAGCAAGCGAGAGATCATGCACGGGAAACAGATTCAGGTGCCCTACCACTACCAGCAGTATTTGACCAACAGGGTAGTTGTATCATGACAACCCAACCCTTCTCAAGCCCGGTCTCTTCAGTTTAGCGAGCCATTTTGTCAAGCTCCCAAAGCTCGAGGCCCGTGAGTGCTGAAATAGTCCCAAGCACCTGAATTGGGGGGAAAAAGGGGGGGGGGGGGTGGGGGGAAGAAGGGGAGGGGACGGAGGGAAGGGAAGGAGGGAAGGGGCGAACGCGTTGGATGTCATATTCAGTCATGCTAAATTGAATGAGAATGACATAAAAGCATACGCTAACTACTGCTCATATATATAATGTGAAACAATTGCTGTGAGCTGCAGCACATGATGCTTGATGGATGCATGGACGAAACAGCATGATGAATTGCATAAAGAATATTTCAAAGCATGTTAATCTGCATGTTTAGAATCTCATGACATGATGATACGGTACCACCATGTCAAGTGTCTCAGTGGCACTTGCATGGTCTTGCCCAACCCCGTCTCACCGCACGCAAGGCTGGCAGGGCTGGCCTCCATGTACCTCTCCCACCCCACCGCAGTCGCCTGCCCTTTCCACCACACCGCACGCACCTGCCCCTTTCCCCACACCGCGCGCACCCGCCCTTCCCCCCACACCGCATTCACCTGCAGAACTTCTTTGATACTGATAGTTTCCCCGACCCCGTCTCGCCGCACATAGCACTGCTGCTCCCCGCGGCCTCCATCCCTGCGCCCTCCCTCGCCACCACTGGCAGCTGCTGTGCTTGCTTGCCCTCGCCACCACTGGCAGCCCTGCCTGCTGTGCTTCTATCTCCGCGCAACGCTGCACCCACAGTTTGCCCCGTCTCGCCGCCTCCCCTCTCAGTTCCGCCTCTCTGCCACTTCCCTTCTCTGCAGAGCCTGCAGGCTTTCGCAGCAGCAGCGCCTGCGGGTCAGCCAGGGGGGTCAGCCCCTGTTTCACAAACGCCATGGCATCCTGCACCTTGTGCTTGCTGCTACCCGCCTGGAGGGGGTTAGGGGCGGATTGGGTAGCCAGGAAGGGGGAGGAGGGGTAACGGAAAGAGTGGGGTGATGCAGGGTGGAGAGAAGTGGCGGGTGGACCTGCCCTGGTTGCACAAACGCAATGGCACGTCGCCCCCTGTGCGCACTGCAGCTGCTGCCATTATGGCGAGGCCCAGAAGGGGTTGGACAATGGGGGAGAGGGAAGGCGAAGGGCGGCACGTGGGACGGATAGAGGGGGGGAGGTGGGGCATGCTTTCGGACGCAAGCATGCTTTCGGACGCAAGCATGCTTCCGGACGCAAGCATGCTTTCGGACGCAAGCATGCGTCCGGGCGCAAGCATGCTTCCGGACGCAAGCATGCGTCCGGGCGCAAGCATGCTTCCGGACGCAAGCATGCTTTCGGGCGCAAGCATGCTTTCGGACGCAAGCATGCTTTCGGACGCAAGCATGCTTCCGGACGCAAGCATGCTTTCGGACGCAAGCATGCTTCCGGACGCAAGCATGCTTTCGGACGCAAGCATGCTTCCGGACGCAAGCATGCTTTCGGACGCAAGCATGCTTCCAGCCGCAAGCATGCATGCTTCCGGACGCAAGCATGCTTCCGGACGCACGCATGCTTCCGGACGCAAGCATGCTTTCCGGACGCAAGCATGCTTTCGGACGCAAGCATGCTTCCGGGCGCACGCATGCTTCCGGACGCAAGCATGCTTCCGGGCGCAAGCATGCTTCCGGACGCAAGCATGCTTTCGGGCGCAAGCATGCTTCCGGACGCAAGCATGCGTCCGGGCGCTAGCATGCTTCCGGACGCAAGCATGCTTTCGGGCGCAAGCATGCTTCCGGACGCAAGCATGCTTCCGGACGCAAGCATGCTTCCGGACGCAAGCATGCTTCCGGACGCAAGCATGCTTCCGGACGCAAGCATGCTTTCGGACGCAAGCATGCGTCCGGGCGCAAGCATTCTTTCGGCCGCAAGCATGCTTTCGGACGCAAGCATGCTTTCGGACGCAAGCATGCTTTCGGCCGCAAGCATGCTTTCGGGCGCAAGCATGCTTTCGGACGCAAGCATGCTTTTGGACGCAAGCATGCTTGCGGGCGCAAACATGCTTGCTTTCTGGCGCAAGCATGCTTCCGGACGCAAGCATGCGTCCGGGCGCTAGCATGCTTCCGGACGAAAGCATGCTTTCGGACGCAAGCATGCTTCCGGACGCAAGCATGCTTTCGGACGCAAGCATGCTTCCGGACACAAGCATGCTTTCGGACGCAAGCATGCTTCCGGATGCAAGCATGCATCCGGGCGCAAGCATGCTTTCGGATGCAAGCATGCGTCCGGGCGCAAGCATTCTTTCGGCCGCAAGCATGCTTTCGGACGCAAGCATGCTTTCGGCCGCACGCATGCTTTCGGGCGCAAGCATGCTTTCGGACGCAAGCATGCTTTCAGACGCAAGCATGCTTGCGGGCGCAAGCATGCTTGCTTTCGGACGCAAGCATGCTTTCGGACGCAAGCATGCGTCCGGGCGCAAGCATGCTTTCGGACGCAAGCATGCGTCCAGGCGCAAGCATGCGTCCAGGCGCAAGCATGCTTTCGGATGCAAGCATGCTTTCAGACGCAAGCATGCTTTCGGACGCAAGCATGCTTCCGGACGCAAGCATGCGTTCGGACGCAAGCATGCGTTCGGACGCAAGCATGCTTCCGGACGCATGCATGCTTTCGAACGCAAGCATGCTTCCGGGCGCAAGCATGCTTTCGGACGCAAGCATGCTTACGGGCGCAAGCATGCTTTCGGACGCAAGCATGCGTCCGGGCGCTAGCATGCTTCCGGACGCTAGCATGCTTTCAGACGCAAGCATGTTTCCGGACGCAAGCATGCTTTCGGACGCAAGCATGCTTCCGGACGCAAGCATGCTTCCGGACGCAAGCATGCTTCCGGACGCAAGCATGCATCTGGGCGCAAGCATGCTTTCGGACGCAAGCATGCGTCCGGGCGCAAGCATTCTTTCGGCCGCAAGCATGCTTTCGGATGCAAGCATGCTTTCGGCCGCAAGCATGCTTTCGGGCGCAAGCATGCTTTCGGACGCAAGCATGCTTTCGGACGCAAGCATGCTGTCAGAATATTATGCTCTAGCCTGTAGTGGGGTGCTCTATAGCGAGTACAACCCTTCTAGGGTTTGCTATTTGTATTCTCATTCTTGCTAGTGCAACCCTCCTCTTCTTCCTACTATTTTCACATGCTATCAGAGCAGGTCGATCCCCTTGGATCGATCCTGTGGGTGGGCTCACCACCTCGTTGCTTCCGCTGCAACTTCCACTGCTACCCTCTGTGCCGCACGCCCCGTGGCGTGCGGCAGTTTTTCTTCCCGCCGTGCGCCCCGAGGCGCGCGGCGGTTTTCTGCCCGCCGTGCGCCCCGTGGCGCGCGGCGGTTCTCTGCCCGCTGTGCGCCCCGAGGCGCGCGGCGGGCTTCTGCCCCGTCACTCGGCGCGTCGCCCTCGGGAGGCGCTGCGACGGGCGACGGGGACCCGCGCGTCGCCCCCCGTCGCCCGTCGTGGCCTGCGCGCGGCCCGTACAGGCTGCGCACGGCCCGTAAGGGCTGCGCCAGGCCCGGACGCGGCCCGTACGGGCTGCGCCAGGCCAGCGCGCGGCCCGTACGGGCTGCGCCAGGCCCGCGCGCGGCCCGTACGGGCTGCGCCAGGCCCGCGCGCGGCTCGGGCCGCCTGCGCGCGGTTCGGGCGGCTGTGCCAGGCCCGTGGGCGGCCCTTTCCTCGCTGCCCCTGCCCTCCCCGCTGTCCCCCGTGCTTCTACTGGCGCCCCACCCCTCCTACAGCCCGTTCTCCTGAATTAGGGTTTGGGGGTGAGGGGTATGGGGGTGAAGCCACTGTGTGCCGTTCCCTGCTCCTCCTCCTCCTCCGTCTCCCTGTGCTGCAGCTGCCGCTGAGGGGGGGTGGACTTGTTGGAGCCGTTGGAGTGGTACTAAGGGGGGGTGAAGGGGGAGTGGAGCTAGCGGTGTAGCAGCGGGTGTGTGTCAGGGGGAGTGGGATAGTTTGGGGAGGTTGAAGGGGGTGGCCGCCGTGAAGCCAGCAGCTCCAGTCGCCCGTGAGATCGTTGCGCCAGTCGCCCGTGAGCCCGTTGCGCCAGTCGCCCGTGAGCCCGTTGCTCCAGTCGCCCGTGAGTCCGTTGCTCGTCTGCCGCTACTTTTAGCCGCGGAGCCAGTTACTCCAGTAGCCCGTGTGCCAGTTGCTCCGGTTGCCAGTGTGCCAGTTGCTCCAGTTGCCCGTGTGCCAGTTGCTCCAGTTGCGCCGTGTGCAAGCAGCTTCAGCTGCCGCCCACTACCTCCTCTCCTCTCATAGTCTCTTTCCTCCTCCTCACTTGCCCGTTGTGACTACCACTAGCTTTGCTCATAATTGTGAACTTTAAACTATTGCTTCTTGAACTTGTGCTCAGAATGTGTGGTGACATTGTGATCCACCCTGAGCTTGTACTGCTTTGCTTGCTCTGCTGATTACACCCCACTTTGGCTATGGGGGTGTGTCAGAATATTATGCTCTAGCCTGTAGTGGGGTGCTCTATAGCGAGTACAACCCTTCTAGGGTTTGCTATTTGTATCCTCATTCTTGCTAGTGCAACCCTCCTCTTCTTCCTACTATTTTCACACATGCTTGCGGGCGCAAGCATGCTTGCTTTCGGGCGCAAGCATGCTTCCGGACGCAAGCATGCGTCCGGGCGCTAGCATGCTTCCGGACGCAAGCATGCTTTCGGACGCAAGCATGCTTACGAACGCAAGCATGCTTTCGGACGCAAGCATGCTTCCGGACGCAAGCATGCTTCCGGACGCAAGCATGCTTCCGGACGCAAGCATGCATCCAGGCGCAAGCATGCTTTCGGACGCAAGCATGCGTCCGGGCGCAAGCATTCTTTCGGCCGCAAGCATGCTTTCGGACGCAAGCATGCTTTCGGCCGCAAGCATGCTTTCGGGCGCAAGCATGCTTTCGGACGCAAGCATGATTTCAGACGCAAGCATGCTTGCGGGCGCAAGCATGCTTGCTTTCGGACGCAAGCATGCTTTCGGACGCAAGCATGCGTCCGGGCGCAAGCATGCTTTCGGACGCAAGCATGCGTCCAGGCGCAAGCATGCGTCCAGGCGCAAGCATGCTTTCGGATGCAAGCATGCTTTTGGACGCAAGCATGCTTTCGGACGCAAGCATGCTTCCGGACGCAAGCATGCGTTCGGACGCAAGCATGCGTTCGGACGCAAGCATGCTTCCGGACGCAAGCATGCTTTCGAACGCAAGCATGCTTCCGGGCGCAAGCATGCTTTCGGACGCAAGCATGCTTACGGGCGCAAGCATGCTTTCGGACGCAAGCATGCGTCCGGGCGCAAGCATGCTTCCGGACGCAAGCATGCTTTTGGGCGCAAGCATGCTTCCGGACGCAAGCATGCTTCCGGACGCAAGCATGCTTTCGGGCGCAAGCATGCTTCCGGGCGCAAGCATGCTTCCGGACGCAAGCATGCTTTCGGGCGCAAGCATGCTTTCGGGCGCAAGCATGCTTCCGGACGCAAGCATGCTTTCGGACGCAAGCATGCTTTCGGACGCAAGCATGCTTTCGGACGCAAGCATGCTTCCGGACGCAAGCATGCTTGCGGGCGCAAGCATGCTTGCTTTCGGACGCAAGAATGCTTTCGGATGCAAGCATGCGTCCGGGCGCAAGCATGCTTTCAGACGCAAGCATGCGTCTAGGCGCAAGCATGCTTTCGGACGCAAGCATGCTTCCGGACGCAAGCATTCTTTCGGACGCAAGCATGCTTCCGGACGCAAGCATGCTTTCGGGCGCAAGCATGCTTTCGGACGCAAGCATGCTTTCGGGCGCAAGCATGCGTTCAGACGCAAGCATGCTTTCGGACGCAAGCATGCTTCCGGACGCAAGCATGCTTTCGGACGCAATCATGCTTCCGGGCGCAAGCATGCTTCCGGACGCAAGCATGCTTCCGGACGCAAGCATGCATCCGGGCGCAAGCATGCTTTTGGACGCAAGCATGCGTCCAGGCGCAAGCATTCTTT